AGCGTGAAATACTAACCAACTATCTAACTAACTACCATAATATGGTAATATGGATTAATAAGGCTGTGAGTGGATGGAAAGTCCCAACCAAGTGTACAAGCACATGTCCAATTTATGAACGTGTATGATCGAAAATCTCTGACAAAAACGAGCAGTGTCGTGAGCATTCGTAATCCTCTGATTCTTTAGGGCTGAACTTATTCTAATCGCTGCACTTCATTCTTTTTTATTATAACTAGAAAGCTTTTTCAGCCTCCCCTCTTAGTACACCTTTTTCCAGTATGAGAAATAGTATTTCTCTATGCTTTTTCAATTTACTTTTAACAGAGTAAATCTTGTAGAGGATGTTGGGACGCCAAATGCACACTGGGGGAAAACTTCACCGGCGTTCTTTACCAAGCAGAACTTTCGGATCTCAGGTCATGATATCAAGTGTAGTGATATTAGCATTTAATATCGGATTGCATACTCATGTCTGAGTCCAGCTGGCGCACTAAATCAATCACAATACAATAACCTTTATAACAAACGAAGGAAATCCATCATTTACTCGTGGGTAGAATACTGCCCCGCTTGCTCAGGTCAAGACAGGTGAATGTTCTAGGAGACTTTCGAAACCCGAGTCGTTGACTAGCTCAAACCCTAGTTCTTGCGGCAGCGAAACAGCATGATCCGTTCTGGGTCGGTGTCCAGTTCATTGGACGGAGTCAAGCGTCCAACGGGCCCAACATACCTCGATGCCCAATCGAGCCCGGTGACCTCTACCACAACCAGACACATGCACCTGTTGTTCGTACACCTCAGCTCGGCTGGTTTGGCTTCAGGGTTTTTAACAAACTCTTCTAGGTGAAGTGTCAATAATTCACTGGCCCAGTGGTAGCCCCAAACGTTGGCTTTGGCGGTGGTGGCCAAGTGGTTAGGTCATCAAATTGTGACCCGCAAATCTCGGGTTCGAACCACTCCACCGCCGTCCGTCTTCCTCGTTTCTGTATTTTCTCAGGCAGTCGTTGTATGGTCGTGTTCCCCTTTCTGAAAGTTGACTGTACATTTGTATATTCGATAAATAGAAAAAGGAAATAAAAGGACAAAGCCATCTCTCACCCTGGTGAGAAAACATCTCCGACACGTGGTGTCAGCGAGCAGGGCTTCCTCAGCAGAAATGTGGTCTTATGGCAGCATTTTGCGAGGTGTATGTAAAAAATAACCAATCCCTGCCCAAGACATCCATCCCTTACCATAGTGATACTTTCTACTGGTTGCAAGATAACCGAGTACCAATAGCAAAAATCGGAAGAATATGTCTTTGAAAACTAACACACATGCATAACACCGAGCTTGTAATTGTGGTTTTCAAAATACTTTGAATACCCTACTTCATACGAGAGGACTTTGCCCAGTCATTTTGGCATGGAATCTACCAACCTAGAAAGAGAATCTTACTTGTCCGTTTCGTCCAGCAGGTGCCACGTCCTGACCTCTGAAGACCCCTTCGAAATAGCTAACTTATCTCTTCCTCTCTCACCCTGTCTTTATGACAAAGAAAGTCTTCAATTACACTCAGATCCAGGGCTTTATGGCGACAACTGAGTGCATTTGATGTTGACACTTGCCAATCCAAAAGTCTAGTGCCTCCTCGTTTTTTAGCTCACGCCTCATTTACACGACGAATTATTCATTTAATCAAATCAAATCCTCCATTTATCGGGCATAAAAATAGTTATGTTGTGAAAGTTTCCAACCG